ATGGGTTACTTCCAGGTTTCGGCGCTTGCGCATGTGCAGAAACACTAAATCGTGCTTTGTGCATGCACAGAAGCACCAAATCGCAACCTGCGCATGCACAGACATGGCGCTGCGGGTTGCGAACGTGCCTCCCGCACGGATCACATTTGCAACCAGAGTGTCCACTGTATTATTATTATTATTATTATTATTATTATTATTTCAATTGGGGCATGGGAGCTTTTGACCCGCTTGCCCAAGCATGCTGCTTGCTCACATTAAACCGCCGCTTGCATTGAACTACGGTTCATTATGACGTGCAAACTGGGATTGTGGCACATTTTTTGGTGCCAAGCAGCCTGAGTTAGCGAATGGTAATAAGCCGAGTCACGAGAAGCACAGGCCAGCAGGGATTATATCATCACAAGGCTGCCATTTCCTGCAGCCGCCATCGATCAAGGGCATGGAAGCATGACGGAGAAGGGCCAGTGCCGGAAATCAGCACGAGAAAGGGCACATTGGCCACAGAACAGGGAGGAGCAACAGCCACGGGGGCTTTGGAACATCGCCAAATGTGGGGAAAGTGAGTCAGAAATCATCCGGGAAAGAGAGAGCGGTATCCGTGAACTGCCTGTCAGCTGCTTCTTAGCCAAAGGCAGCATCAACGTTGGCAGTACGGGACACAAATTGGGTCTGGGGATTCAGGAAACCTAGGCTCCATCTATGGAGGAAAGAGGGTGACAATGGCTAGGGCACTGGGCTTTGGGCTTTGGCCTCCCTTTCACTAACAAGCTCTCTCTTATCTTCATTTTGCTTAGATCAGGTGAAATATACTTGGAGTCGAGAGTGGATTTCATGCTCTTTACTCAGCTCACAGTGGTGAGGAGGAATGGAAGTTCCCTCAGAATGTCTGCTTTATAGACATTATTTACACAATGGGCCCCACGTGATTGGCTAATTCCGGGATTCTCCTGTAGGCCAATCAGGGTGAGGATTCACTTCCACCTGGAGCTGGATTGGGTGGCTCCTGTGGACCAACCAGACTGCTGCATTCTGGGGCCTATTGTTCTAGGACCAATCAGACTGCTGCATTGTGAATCCTATAGTTCTAGGACCAATCAGGCTGCTGCATTTTGGATCCTATTCAACTCAGTACATAACATCAGGGATCAGCAAACTGTTTCAGCAGGGGCCGGTCCACTGTCCCTCAGACCTTGTGGGAGGCTGGACTCTTGGGGGGGGGGGGAATGAACGAATTCCTGTGCCCCACAAATAACCCAGAGGTGCATTTTAAATAAAACGGCACATTCTACTCATGTAAAAACACGCTGATTCCAGGACCGTCCGTGGGCTGGATTGAGAAGGTGACTGGGCCGGATCCAGCTCCTGGGCCTTAGTTTGCCTACCCATGGCTTAGATGTCCATTAGTCGTTCTCACCCCTAAGCCCACAAGTTGGGCCCTAGATTTCCAAATTAAATCTAAAACGAGCATGGTGATTTAAGAACGGCTGAGAATGGGGCACCAGAACACCTAGTTCAGGGGAATCTTCAGCCCTCCAGCTGTTTTGGACTACAACTCCCATCAGCCTCAAAAACAAAATCATGAAGAACACAAGATCAGGCAGATCCACACCATTTACAACACATGACTTCCCCTCAAGGAACCCAGAGAACTATAGCTTGCCCCCCACAAGCTACCAATGCCCTTGGAAAACTACAGTTCCCAATATTCTCTGGGGGGAAAGCAATGTGCTTTAAGTGTGCCTTGGGCATCCTTTCAAGGTACAATGGTACCTCGGGTTACAGATGCTTCAGGTTACAGACGCTTCAGGTTACAGACTCTACTAACCCAGAAATAGTACCTCGGGTTAAGAATTTTGCTTCAGGATGAGAACAGAAATCGTGCGGCGGCCCCATTAGCTAAAGTGGTACCTCAGGTTAAGAACAGTTTCAGGTTAAGAACGGACTTCCAGAACGAATTAAGTTCTCAACCTGAGGTACCACTGTACCTGTTCTTCGCCGTCATATTACCACCTGGAAAACAAATAAGAACGAATGCTCCATAAAGACTTACGTAGTCTAATCACTGCATAACCTTTCTGCAAGCAGGACAAATGCTCAATGAATAGATCACCTGGAGGAGGACTTTAATCCTCAGTTTCTCCATCTGCAACATGGGCTGGTAATGACATGGGCCGACTGGTTCTAATGGATTGCTGTAAATGGATTACAGCGGGTGCATGGATTCAAAAGTGCTTCGGAAAACACTAAAAGCCATTGCAAAAATAAAATGAAATGCTATTACGGCGTTATTTGTTCCCACTTTATTCACCTATCCAATGCTTTTGCAAATCTTGCGCCGAAATGAACCTGCTCTCTTAGCCCTTTAGGCAGGAAGGCAGGCCTCCGCCGGGCTCCTTGCACTCGACTCCCACCTAATCCTTTCTTTGATCGCAGCAGGAAAAATAAACTAAGAGGTGAAAAGGCTGGGAGGGCAATTGCAAGTCTGCCCCCGCAACCCTTTCCCGTTCCATTTGGGAGGAGAAAGCAGCAAATTCTAAGGATTTTCTTTTCCACCCTCAGGGGCTTCACAACCCAAGCGGAGGCCTTTGCTGGAAGAACAGCTGCTCTCCTCCAGAACTTTCTCTGCGCTAATGAGCTTCCTTCTTAGCTATGGGGATGGAGGGAGGGGACGAGAAACACTGGGACTCGATGATAGCTGGGGCACGGAAATATAAAGTTCTGCGTCCTCGTCATTCCACGCATTCCTGACCAATTGCCATGTGGAGGATTGCAGCTGGCTCTGGGGAGGAGACAGCTGTTTGGAACAGGGAACCCTTTGCTGATAACACGGCTATCTCTGGGGCGGAAGAAAGCTCCTTGAATCAAGGGGGCAGGGGGACACCGAGCACAATTCAAACTGTTGGTGCTGACCTTTAAAGCCCTAAACGGCCTCGGTCCAATATACCTGAAGGAGCGTCTCCACCCCCATCGTTCTGCCCGGACGCTGAGGTCCAGCACCGAGGGCCTTCTGGCGGTTTCCTCACTGCGAGAAGCCAAGTTACAGGGAACCAGGCAGAGGGCCTTCTCGGTAGTGGCACCTGCCCTGTGGAACGCCCTCCCACCAGATGTCAAAGAGAACAACTACCAGGCTTTTAGAAGACATCTGAACGCAGCCCTCTTTAGGGAAGCTTTTAATGTTTGATGCATTACTGTATTTTAATATTTTGTTGGAAGCCGCCCAGAGTGGTTGGGGAAGCCAAGCTAGATGGGCAGAGTATAAATAAATTATCATCATCATCAGGAAAAGGCAGAGTTGCAACCTTCCCCAACCTTGCTGGACTCCCATCCTCCTCAGTCAGCAGGACCAATGGTCAGAGATGATGGGAGCAGCAGTCCCAAAACATTAATTTATACCCAGAATGGGCAGCCTGCGGTCCTCTGAGCAGTCCAGCAGTTCAACTCCCACCAGTCCCAGCCAGCATATCTGGTGGTCAGAGAAAGTGAGAGGTAAAGGTAAAGGACCCCTGACAGTTAAGTCTAGTCGCAAACGACTCTTGGGTTGCGGCGCTCATCTCGCTTTACTGGCCGAGGGAGCCAATGTTTGTCCGCAGACAGTTTTTCCAGGTCATGTGGCCAGCATGACTAAGCCGCTTCTGGCGAAACCAGAGCAGTGCACAGAAACGCCGTTTACCTTCCCGCTGGAGCAGTACCTATTTATCTACTTGCACTTTGACGTGCTTTTGAACTGCTGGGTTGGCAGGAGCAGGGACTGAGCAACGGGAGCTCACCCCGTCGCGGGGATCCAAACCGCCGACCTTCTGATCGGCAAGCCCAAGGCTCAGTGGTTTAGACCACAGTGCCACCTGCGTCCCATATAAGTGAGAGGTACAGTCTAATAATAATAATAATAATAATAATAATAATAATAATTTATACCCCACCCATTTGGCTGGGTTTCCCCAGCTGCTATGGGCAGCTCCCAACAGAATAATAATAATAATAATAATAATAATAATAATAATAATAAAGTGATAAAACATCAACCATTAAAAACTTCCCTAAACAGGGCTGCTTCCAGTCTAATGTCACCAACAGGGCTTCAGGCTCACCATTCCTGATTTAGAGAGGCATTTGTTATTATTAGGCAGCCCTGTATCAGGAAGTTTTTAATGTTTGATGTTATATTATGTTTTTATATGTGTTGCATGATACCAGAGTGGCTGGGGCAAAATAGTAGTAGTAGTAGTAGTAGTAGTAGTAGTAGTAATAATGATAATAATAATAATAATAATAATAATAATAATAATAATAATAATAATTTAAGGCAGGGAGGAAAAGGATTAGGGTGGGTGTAATTCAGGAAGGTAGGGGTGGAATTTGGGAACAGGTTGTCTGAAGGACCACTTACAGCCATACACGCCTCCCTTTGTGTCAGGAGTGCCAACCTGGCCCCGCAACTGTAGGTGCCCGGGCCATGGGTACCATGCAGTGTGCATGGCTCTGGCACCAAAAGTTGTGGATGCCCGGTCCTTTCATGGGGAATTTTGTGGGTGCTCGGTCACCCAGGGCCCCAGGGAGTTGGCACCTATGCTGAGTGTTAAGATCAGCACCTGAGTCCTACAAGAACAGCAGCCACTAAAGGCAGCAGGGCCTTTTCGGTGGTTTCCCTACGCCTTTGGAACAAAGGTTTTAAAGACTTATTCATTCCAGTCTGTTAATTTTAATATGCTGGAAGACAAGTAAATTGCATGTGTGCTAGAAAAGCAAGGTCCCAGCTCACTGTGGGTTTTCCCTGGTACAGAATGCCTGCAAAGTGGGAGCCCAGCTAGGCAAATAGGAAGCTGCCTGCCTTATACTGGGTCAGCCCACTGTTTCAGCAAGCTTAGTGTTATCTATACTGGCCGGCTATGGTTCTCCAGGGTATTTGGTTCCCTTCCATATATTGACAAGCTGGAAGGTGTGGACAGGAGGGCGACAGAGATGATCAAGGGTCTGGAAACCAAGCCTTATGAGGAACGGTTGAAGGAGCTGGGCATGTTTAGCCTGGAGAAGAGGAGACTGAGAGGAGATATGAAAGCAATCTTCAAATATCTCAAGGGCTGTCCCATGGGAGATGGAGCAAGCTTGTTTTCTCCTGCTCCGGAGGGTAGGACTCGAACCCATGGCTTCAAATTACGAGGAAAGAGATTCTGACTAAACCTCAGGAGGAATTTTCTGACAGTAAGAGCCATTCGACAGTGGAACGAACTCCCTCGGGAGGTGAGGGACTCTCCTTCCTCGGAGGTTTTCAAGCAGAGGTTGGATGGACACCTGTCATGGATGCTTTAGCTGAGATTCTTGCATTGCATCGGACAGTTTCTGAACGTCACTTGGGGATGCTGAGAGCTGAACTTGGAGCCTTCACCAGAGTACTGCTGCTGCCAACACGTAAGTCGACCAACGGCCCAACAATGTAGGATAGAGGGCACCCTCAGTCCCAGAGCCTGCCTTCCTCCTCACAGACAACTCATGCAGAGACCATAGCTGTCAACTGTCCCTTATTTGGCGGGAAAGTCCATTATCCCAGCGCTGTGTCCCGCTGCTGTCCCTTATTGATGATGTCCCTTAAATTTCCCAGGTTTCAAAGGAAGCAGCTCCTCTCCCTCCCTCCCTGCCGGCCAGGGAGGAGGGAGGCTCCAACTGTGTTGCTTGGCTGCGTTGCTCACCCAATAAGGAGTCTAAGAACGACTGGGGGGTGGAGCTTGCATGCCTTGTGCCGATCAAATCGGCTGCGTTGCCTGGGGACTCGCCTTTGCTCAGCGCTTCCCAGCGGAGAGGTGACGGTGGTTTTCCTTGCTGCATCCCCTTTGCCGGGTTGCTGCGCTGTGGGAACCACCGCTTGAGGCTTCATTTGGCTGCTGGCTGGGCTTTCTGCCTTTGGCTTGGAGGGGCTCAGAAGTTGAACATACCTGTGCTGGGAAAATCCCTTATTTTGGCTGCTGATCCCTTATTTTCAAGGCTGCTGGTCCCTTATTTTCAAATCTGTAAGTTGACAGCTATGGCAGAGACACAACAGGCAACCTCTTCTGCGGGCAGGTTATTCTGCTGCATCTCTGACCAAATCCTACTTGCTGCAGAGATGTACTCACTGCAATAAAGGCTAGCTGGAAGAATGCCAGGCCAGAAGGGGGAAGCATGCAGGGACACGGCAAGCAGACTCCTTTGTGAGCAGAGCCCCTCAGTCACCTGGGAACTTTGTAATTTTTGAAATTAATTTATTTCTTGTGCCGTGTTAGTGTGCTCCAGCCCCCAGTTAGGAAACTACTGTATTAACTCCTTTCAAGAGAGAGTAATTAAACAAGGTCTGGGAGAAGACTAAAATAGCAAGAAACTGACAGCTTGTAAAATTATTCGGGAAGATCCCGGGAGAATTGTCTGCCCCTCTGAGATCTGGCACCCAATAGCTGAAGAAGGTAATAGGCAATATTTACGTTTCATTTAGCTAATGAGCTGGCGCATGTCATTCCCACTTAAATTAAGCCTAGATGTGAATCAATATGCGGGTGGCATTCAGTCACGTCGTGGCAACTGCAGGCGGCACTTGCAAGCTCTTGTAGAATAAACCTGGTCCGCCCCCCACAAAAAAACCCCAAACCCCACCCTGGGTCAATTCTGTTTTTGAGATATGGAAAGCGATGGGATAATGGCACTGGAAAGTACGGCATGATACTTGCTTTGGCTCATCATCGTCTAACAAGTCAGAGTGAGGGCTCACTAAGTATAAAATGCCGTGTGATCTCCCTGCAAACAAATCAAAGAATCATAGAGTTGGAAGGGACCCCCCTCCCCCAGGGTCATCTAGTCCAACCCCCGACATTGCAAGAATATGTAGCTTTCCCATTGGGAGATCAGCACCATGCTCTAACCAACTGAGCTTTCCTTTTTAATTTTTTTTTTTTTAAATATTGTTTTAATTACAGTGGTAAGGTAAAGGTAAAGGGACCCCTGACCATTAGGTCCAGTCGTGGCCGACTCTGGGGTTGCGACGCTCATCTCGCTTTATTGGCCGAGGGAGCCAGCATACAGCTTCCGGGTCATGTGGCCAGCAGGACTAAGCCGCTTCTAGCGAACCAGAGCAGCACACGGAAATGCCGTTTACCTTCCCACTGGAGCGGTACCTATTTATCTACTTGCACTTTGACGTGCTTTAGAACTGCTAGGTTGGCAGGAGCAGGGACTGAGCAACGGGAGCTCACCCTGTCACGGGGATTCGAACCGCCTACCTTCTGATCGGCAAGTCCTAGGCTCTGTGGTTTAACCCACAGTGCCACCTGCGTCCCACTCAGGTTAAGTACTTAATTTGTTCCGGAGGTCCGTTCTTAACCTGAAACTGTTCTTAACCTGAGGCACCACATTAGCTAATGGGGCCTCCAGCTGCTGCTGCACAATTTCTGTTCTCATCCTGAAGCAAAGTTCTTAACCTGAGGTACTATTTCTGGGTTAGCGGAGTCTGTAACCTGAAGTGTCTGTAACCCGAGGTACCACTGTATTGCTTTTAGCTAGTTTGTATTACAGTGGTTCCTCTGTATACAAACTTAATCTGTTCCGGAAGTCCGTTCTTAAACCAAAATCATTCTTAAACCGAGGCGCGCTTTCCCTAATGAGGCCTCCTGCTGCCGGTGCCCTTCCACTGTTCGGATTCTGTTCTTAGACCGAGGTAAAGTTCTCAAACCAGGACACTATTTCCGGTTTTGCAGAGTTTGTAAACCGAATCGTTTTCAAACCAAACTGTTCTTAAACCTTAAACTGTACCTCCTGTGTTATAATGTTGTTTTTAAATGTCGTAAAAGCCACCTTGGATCCCAGCTTGGAAGAAACACAGGATACAAACACAGTCGCACCCCAGAAGTCAAACAGAATCCATTCCGGAAGTCTGTTCAACTTCCAAAACATTCGGAAACCAAAGCGCGGCTTCCAATTGGCTGCAGGAAGCTCCTGCAGCCAATTGGAACCAGCGGAACCCACGTCGGATGTTTGAGTTCCAAAGAACGTTCTCAAACCGGAACACTCACTTCTGGGTTTGCGGAGTTCGGAAGCCAAAACATTTGACTTGCAAGGCATTCGACTTCCGAGGTACGACTGTACAGTGGAAACTTGGGTTACAGATGCTTCAGGTTACAGACTCTGCTAACCCAGAAATAGTACCTCAGGTTAAGAACTTTGCTTCAGGATGAGAACAGAAATCGTGCGGCGGCGGCGTGGTGCCATTAGCTAAAGTGGTACCTCAGGTTAAGAACAGTTTCAGGTTAAGAATGGACCTCCAGAATGAATTAAGTTCTTAACCCGAGGTACCCAGTAGTGATGTATGGAAGTGAGAGCTGGGCCATAAAGAAGGCTGATCGCCGAAGAATTGATGCTTTTGAATTATGGTGCTGGAGGAGACTCTTGAGAGTCCCATGGACTGCAAGAAGATCAAACCGATCCATTCTGAAGGAAATCAGCCGTGAGTGCTCCCTGGAAGGACAGATCCTGAAGCTGAGGCTCCAAGACTTTGACCACCTCATGAGAAGAGAAGACTCCCTGGAAAAGACCCTGATGTTGGGAAAGATGGAGGGCCCAAGGAGAAGGGGACGACAGAGGACGAGATGGCTGGACAGTGTTCTCAAAGCTACCAGAATGAGTTTGACCAAACTGTGGGAGGCAGTGGAGGACAGGAGTGCCTGGCGTGCTCTGGTCCAGGGGGTCACGAAGAGTCGGACACGACTAAACGACTAAACAACAACAACCACCACCACTGTACATGTAACAACAACAGCAGCAACCACGGCCACCCTCAATCTCTCTCTCTCTCTGCCTCTCCAACTCCACTCTTGCTGTTTCCATCCCACCTAACTGGGCTCCCAAGCCATGTCCCACCACCCGCTCTGCTTGAATTCCTCCCCAGAGATCGCGTTTCACGGCCGTCCTATTTCTGCCCAAGGAATGTGCAGCATCAGCCCGGGGCTCTGCTGTTTGCAAAGAGATCAGACTCTCTGCTGCCCCTCTAACCCAGCCAGTCCCACTAACCCACAACCACACAGGCAAGCAGTTGACGCATTCCCAAAAACCAGCCCCGACCCGGGGACGAAGGGGGCTGCCAAGGAGGAGGAAATAAAAGTGGGCCGAGTCCCATTTCGAATCCGCGCTATTCATATCCTGGGCATATTTAACACACATCTCCCCCACATAAGAATCATGCGAACTGTAGTTTTCCCCTCCACGGAGCTGCCATTGGCAGCAGCCTTCACGAACTACAGTTCCCAGGGTTCTTTGGAGGAAGAATAGGCCTTGAATAGGCTTTGAATGTATATGTAATTGTGGCTCTGCGCAGAATCACGTTGCAATTGCTTTTTATATTAGTTGTTCGTTCCTGGCACTCTAAAGAACTTTTCTTTGGCCAGGAGAACTTGGGACGATTAATGGCAGGCCAGACCATCTCGCTCAAGAGACCGGTTTGGCCAAGGCGTGAGAATTACCATATTTTTTGCTCTATAAGACTCACTTTTACCCTCCTAAAAAGTAAGGGGAAATGTGTGTGTGTCTTATGGAGCGAATGCAGGCTGCGCAGCTATCCCAGAAGCCAGAACAGCAAGAGGGATTGCTGCTTTCACTGCACAGCGATCCCTCTTGCTGTTCTGGCTTCTGAGATTCAGATTATATTTTTTTCTTGTTTTCCTCCTCCAAAAATTAGGTGCGTCTTGTGGTCTGGTGCGTCTTAGAGAGCAAAAAATACGGTATGTTCTTGACTCGCATCCGGCGGCCCCATGAAGAATGTGATCTGCGCCAGGAGGGCACACAGCGAAAGCCGGAACCTCGCTTTCCCAAGACAGATGCAAACAGAATCTCAAGGACATCAGAAAACTCTCTGTACCTGAACGCAGAATCAGAACACAGATCCTGGGCTCAGAAACACCGCCACCCTCCGCCTTTTCATTTCTTTTGCAAGAGAGAGGGTTTTGACACACCTCTCTGCACTGGCAACGATTCAGAAACAATGGAAGCTTACCCAAGCTGCAGTTTAGGAAAAGCGTGGCTGAGGAACCTAGAAGAGCAGGAATTAGCAGCAGGGCCAACCGAGCAGGAAAAGACAATTTAGCACAGAGGCGATTCTATGAAACAGAGATGGGGGAACCCATTCCAACCCTCCACAGCAGGCATCCCCAAATTTGGCCCTCCAGATAGTTTTGGGACTACA